AATGGGTTTCCTCCCATTTGCATAGGAGATTGGCAACTAAACACAAACACACACACACACACACACACACACACACACACACCAGCACACACACACACCTCAATTGAGGTTATTTCTAAAAATATCTTTCAAAACTACAGGTCCTTTTTTCCCCCAGAAGTATCTTCTACATTTAACATTAGGAAATTGTTTATACCTCACCCAAATCTTCACAGTACAACTTAAGTATATTAATTAAATATATTTGTTCTTTAATAAACATGTTTGTTATGCCTTTAGTCAATAGCACATGTTGATCATCACAATTATTGCTGTAAAATCTATTTATACCCTTCAATGCAGCTAGCTATAAAGTATGTTATTAACCTCATTTTGTCCAGGCCAAATACTTAGAAAATCCAGATCGGGTCTAATTTTCAGCCTTTTGGTCCCTTTCTGCTCTGTCTGCTTTTGGTTCTCCTTAAATTCATCATGGTAAAGTAAAACTCGTCAAAATGAGAGTCAAAAAAGCCAAGTTCTGATCTGAGTTTTGATGGAAATTTAACATGAGGCATTTCACAATTCAGAAACCTCTGTGGCCCCAGCTTTCCTATCTGCTAAGTAAACATGGAACAGAGCAAGCCTCCTGAGATTACTTTAACTCAATCTTCTGATTAGCTGTGAACACAAAGGAGGCTGTCTGCCCATAGACAGTAGGTTCTAGGACCAGTAATTTTGCCATCCTCTAACTGGTACCAAATTCCCTTAATAAAACTCAGTACCTTTGTGCTCCAATAAGACTTCAAAGTTATTATCCCCGGAAGAGAAAGAGGTAAAGCTGGCTTCAGTTCACATTTTGGAACATAAAACTTATTGCAGAGCCTTCTTCAAGTGCAGTCTAGGAAATCTACCAGGCCACTGAAGAACCAACATTGGGGCGCCTAAGTGGCTCAGTTGGTTAGGCATCCGACTTCAGCTCAGGTCATAACCTCGTGGTCCATGGGTTCCAGCCCTGCATCGGGCTCTGTGCTGACAGCTCAGAGCTTGGAGCTTGTTTCAGATTCTGTGTCTCCCTCTCTCTCTGCCCCTCCCCAGCCCATGCTCTGTCTCTCTCTGTCTCAAAAATAAATAAATGTTAAAAAGAATTTAAAAAAAGAACCAACATTTTACTTGGTACATTACAGAAACTCAAATAAATATTTGTTTATGACTGATGAACTCAGAAGAGGAACAAAGATGAGGGAGTGAAGGCAGTGAATGAAAACAGCTTATGAGGAGGCCAACATAACAGACTTCTCTGTTTACTGATGTATCACAATGACTTGGAAGGGACTCCACTGAATGAATAAAAGAAATATAAAGCTAAAGATTTTAAATGTAAATTTCTAGAACTTTCCAACGTGTTAAGAGTATGCCCTGCTCCTACTAAACCTTTTCATGTCCCAGAAATAGAGCCACAAAACTTCCAAATAAATAGACTTCTACTAAAACAATCTAATTGTCTGATCTAAACAACTTACAATGACAAATACATACTGCCTAGACTAGGGCCCCACTTTAGACTGCTAAACAGTTAAATGAAACTAGATATTCAGAGGTTTGAAAGATAAGATACCAATGTCTCCTCAAAACAGGAAAGTACAAAACAATAGCACTAATACAGACAGGTATTAATGATAAGATAAGAAATCATCACAGACCAATGTTTTGGTGTAAAAAATCTGGTTGTGAGTAAAAGGTAAATTAACTTTTCAGGAGCCATAATAACTAGAGACTTATTTCTAGCTTTTAAATGAAGCAAGGTCAACAAATTCTTTGAAATAAGTTTAACTCCTGACTGAGGTTGTCAGAAATAATTTATATGAAACTTCCCAGAGATAAAAGTTTACCCTCTTAAGAAATTATAGGTATTTTTATTTTGTGGCTTCAATTGGAATGGCAAAACTTCTAATGCAGTTTAAAGGGTTAAGAGTGTATATTTCTTTTAACAACCATATCAAGATATTTGTCTCTGTAAACATCAAACTGGGACTATTTTGAGGGTGTTTTGTATTTTTCTGGCCTCTTAGAAAACCTGTGGTCAGGTAAATACAAGTACACAGCAGGGCAGGAATTTGCTAACTGGTAATTATAGAGTAGCTATAGGACTCAGACACGATCCCATGATGAAATCAGAGAGCTTAATTTTTATAGGAGAGAGATCTACTACACATTGAATTTTGTGATTGCAAGGACAATATACAAAGAGCTGTGTAAGCCTGGTTTGACCAAGAGGCATAATGAACAACATTTTTTAAGAACAGCATTCATTTTCCACTGCCTAAAGTACTTTTTGTTTACTTTTTCCAATAATAATTAAGTAGGTCTGTCTCAATGAATGTGGATCTGTCCTCCATGTATGAGGTCACTGTACTGTCATCACTGGGCCACACTTTGATAGGCATGAAAAGTTTCGTATCCATATGTCTGGTCCATGGCTTCATCATGTCCAGCACCCTTAGCATGATGGCCTGCTTGAGTTATCCTGGTGGCTACACAGGTTTTCACTTTCTTGCTACTGTTTAGCAAATATGCAAAATGTGATAGAAAGAAGCATAATAATAGAATGGAAATATAATGGAAAAGCCAAGACAATAAGCTATAAGACTACAGAGAAATGCAACCACCATCAAGACTGGTGTGACCTTGGGGTGCCTGGGTGGCTCAGTTGGTTAAGCATCTGACTCCTGATTTTGGCTTGGGTCATCCTTTCATGGCTCATGGGATTAAGTCCCATCTCAAGCTAGGCACTGAGCATGGAGCTTCCTTAGAATTCTCTCTCTATGCCCCTCTCCTGTTCACTCACTCTCTCTCAAGTAAATAAATAAATTTAAAAATAAATAAATGAATAAATAAATAAACAAACATAAAAAAAAAAGAGTTGTGTGACCTTGCCAAAATAGAAGGCAGACTTCAGGCACTTACCAAAGGTGCTAACCAGCCATAAACCACATTGGTCACATTTCAGTGGAAATGGAAAAGGAGAATTTGTAAAACCGATAGCAATCCTTGAAAAGTACAGTGTCTTGCCATTACAATTATAAACGCAAGACATCCAAAAGCTGCAGAGGTGGTCTTTGTTATCTTTTCCCATGTTTCCAAACTGTCCATGAGGTTGAGAAGAGCTTTATAGAAATATCCGGAAGTCTGGCATCCCATTCCCTCTGCATACACTGGCTGGGAAGGCATATGCTCCCCACCTGCCCATACACCCTGTGGCCTCTATGCCATGTCCGTATCTCCTGACCTAAATAGACATTCACATCCACCTACATACAAAATATGCAGCCAAGCAATAGCAAAGCCGTCTTCAGTCTGGCCATTAAAGCCAGACTGCTTGGGGGTGAGTCTACTTACTAGCCGTGTATCCTTGAATAAACTCTTTAAACGTCTTTAAGCTTCAGTTTCCTCATCTATACAACCTTTTTTTTTTATAGCATTCAGTTGAGTATTTAGCAAGCAGTAGGTTCCAAAGTTCTAATTATTGCTGTCATTAATGACATGTTCTCACTGTGCGCAGACATTACTTTCCAAAGATTTTTAAAAGTAATTGAATCAAAATCAAGAAGCGTTTAGATATAATCTGTTTCATTCATACTGTGAACAGGAGATTAAATATAATCTAGTATTTTTTAAACTGTAGCTATTTAGAGCTAGGATAAAAAAAGAAAAAGGAAATAGAGGACTTTTGGAGCAGGTAAAAATTGATTTTCCCTGAACTAAGGAAAAAGAACGTGAATTCAGAAAGTGAGTTTGTGCCATTCACCAATAACAACATTTTCAGTCTGTACTCAGCAAATCATTCAAATTAATCTAGAATACACACTATTTGAAAGAAAAATATCTTCATACTCACCTTAAAGAGATGTTAGGAGAACAAAATGAAGCATATGACATTTATCAGGATGAACAATGCTTTAAAAACTCACAGTAGAAATATTATGAAAGCCTTTCACTGATGATTAGACAAATAAAAGAAAAAATTAAGCAGTGATTTCTGAGGAGAAGACACACACATTTGCCAGGTCACAGAAGAAATCCTGCTGGCTTTCTCTGGCTTATTATTTGCAAGTCATTTCAGATTAGGAGACCTTCTATTCTGTTGAGTCACACGGAATCATCACTATGCCATTAGCACCGTGCAAATTTGGTCTCAGCTAGGTGTGCCACACTAACTGCCACAGTTGCAGGCCTTCGGTGCTCTATGCAAAATGATTACTGCTTTGCTTGTTTCCATAATTACATGTTTTCCAGATTGTAGTTTCAGAGTTTATTGAGGAAAATTGTACATAAAAACAAACCGAGTGCATTCATCCTTCAAGAAAAACAGAATAAGTGAGGACAACAAAGGACTCTGAAGATTTCCCAGGACCCCTGAGGTGGTAACAAGAGAAATCGAAAGTAAAATGGTTTTGCTTTTCAGTAAATGACTAAGCTGGCACAGTGATTCTTATTCTGGTGTCCTGGAAATGTAATGAGGCTTTCCAGGTTTCTCATCTAGTCTCAGGGCTGATTTGTGCATAGACGCTGGTCCACAGTCCTCTGTGGTTAGGGGAATAGTGGAAGACGGGAAGAATAACAATACCAGGAAATAAACCAGGAGGAATCAATAAACAATCAGGAAATAGCTTTAGGTTATTTGAGACTATCAAATCATTTGATAATAATACTTCAGACTCCTGTTCAAGACTCATCATAACAGAACTCCAGTTCATCTTTAATAATTAAAAAAACATATAATGGAAAATGAAATTCTATGCTTAGTCAAATCAATGAGCCATTCTGAGATATATATATATATATACATATATATATGTATGCTAAACTAATATATATGTTTAGCTACATAAATAATAATATTTTGTTAGGGGCCTGAGTATTTGCCACAGTCAATAAACTCGGTGACCTTACTATTTATTCATTCCATAAATATATTCTGAGCACATAATTCCCCTTTAATAACTGATTATAGTATTGAAATATTTCATGGATCTCTGTCATTTTTTATTCTGCTCATAAAAATCTCTGGAGGCTAATACAGTCCGTAAATTCCTTATATTTACTCTCCACTTTGTGAAAAAGCGATCTCTTCATTGTTATTGCAATTTGAGGCAGGCAGTGTTTGCAGGTCATTTACCAGCTGTTGAGGTTTCCTGTTGCTGGCTTTGGCAGATGTTTGGGCTCCCATGGCTCAGTCAATACCATCCCAAATCCAAATCCTCACTGCCTCAATGCGGTTCCTGCAAGATATGACACAGTATTCAAACCAGCCAAGGTGTGATTGTTACCACAGCTAGGACTTCCGTTCTAAATACTCACCTGGCCCTTACCCACTCAAGCTGAACTGCATAGAATTCAAAGAGCCCTGAGATCTGACCAGAGATAGTCAAGCAGCCTTCCTTGTTTCCTCCCACTGAGGACTCACCTTGGCCCAGGTTATCCCTCCATTTAGCTCTGCCTGGCAAAAAACACACTCAGAATGTACTACTGCCACAGAAAGATGGGGTCAAAAATGTAGAAACAAGAAACATTTTCTCATCTCACAAAGGCTCAGCCCTCTAGAATGGTAACCCCTAGCATACGTCACTCTTAGAACCCTTCTTTCTGATGTAATTTGTAGGTAACTCAGGTGCTCTGCTTTGCTGTACTAACCTTTCTAGAGTCCTTAGAGCAGTTGTTAGGATTTGAAGTCATGAATACTGGCCCCACTACACGAAAGCTGTGTGACTTTTCGAAAATCATTAAGCTTCTCTGTTTTAATTTCTTAACCTCTAAAACAGAGACAATAATAGCATAAGCACTCATAGGGTTGTTTGTAAAAAATACATAAGATAATGTAACTAAAAGCTAAGGGCACAGGACTAGCTAACATCTTCCCCTCCGCACACCCAGGTGGAATATGTGTGATATTCCTCAGACATTCTTGGCTACCCAAGAACAATGGAAAGGGGTTTAAGTGCTTGCCATGGTGATGTGGGAAACTAAAGCAAATGAAAAATTAAATTCCCTTACTGCCTACAGCGCATTGACAAGTCCTTAAAACAGGCAGAGAGACCTCCCTCTAGGAGCTCAGCTGCCTTGATAATGGCACTTTGCTAAGGGCAAAAGGGAATCTTGGCTTAACATTATTCTGACCCCCAGAATCCTGTAAGTCTACTTTAACATATGAAAATCCCTTTGGAAACTTCCTTGATCTCAACTCCCCCAAGATACATGCTGGCAATCATACTCCAAGCTTATGGCCCCCTGATACACATCTGAAAGGTCTCATGACCGAGGTTTTACTAAGTAGTAAGAAATGGGGTTTTCCTAGTAAGGCCTAGCCCCTCAAGGTCCTGGAAATCTTGCTTCCAGAATACTTTCAAAACATACTCTATCTCTAATCCTCTCCCAACCTGAAGGTATATAATCAGTTACCCATCACAACCCCAATGCAGCTCTTTCAGCCCATGGGTCCTCGCGTTTTAACAAAATCAACTTTTGCACCAAAGATGTCTTTAAGAATTCTTTCTTGGCCATCACCTCCAAACCCTACCTACCCTCACCCCCAAACCCTACCATTTATGCTCCCTCATCAAAAGCACTTAATACATAATGCCTAAGAGATAGTAAGCAAATCTCAATGTCACTGATGCTTTTCAATAATGACAGTGAATAACTACTATTACATACCAAGTACTATGATAGGCACTTGAGATTTATAGATAATAAGAGTCTGGACCTCTCAAGAACTCATATTCTAGAGAAGGTATAACAAAACACTTTCTGTTAAAGGTCAGATAGTAAATCTTTAAGCTTTACAGGCCATACAGTCTTTGTTAAAACTACTCAACTCTGCCACTGCAGCACAAAGGCAGCCATAGACAATACATAAACAGATGCATAGAGCTGTTTTTTTAATAAAACTTTATTTACAAAACCAAGGAGTGACCATGGTTTGGCCTGCAGGCTGTAGTGTGTCAACCCCTGGTCCAGAGGGAAAACACAATTACAAAACAATGAACTTACGGCTCCAATACAAGTATGCACCAGTCTCAACGCACATGTAACAGGGAAGGCTACCTCATCTCGCTTCTGTCGTTAGTTATTCACACCATTGGTGAGCACCTCAACAATGTGGCAGAAAGAAAAAGAAATTCAATGGGAGTAAAATTGGATTCAATGGAAGTTTCAATTTTCTGAGCTTCCCCTGCCTTATATCATCCTGGCTTTCAGAAAGTTAAGCTGAAAAAATTCAACTTTAACATTATGTCATTTCATTCAGCTGGCAACCTGTATTCTTCAGAAAGATTGAAGACAAACATCATAAAAGATTTTATCCATTTGCCACGGTTCCCAAAATTCAGTCTATTCCTGGTGGATCAAGACAACAAGGTCTTGAAAACTCACTATAATGAAGCATTTTGCCACTTGCCAACTTGAGTTTTGGCTATAGTAGGATCTAAGTTAGGAATCAAAATATGTTCAGGAAGAAATGTGGTAATGCTACCAGAAAGTATAAAAATATTTTGAAGATCCTTACATGCAAGACCATATATTTTTGAAGTGAGCATCTCTGGTTCATTAAAATGAGTATCTCAGAGAGAATAAGATTTGAAATGCAACTCACAATGGTAAATACAATTGCTGACGGCTTTTGGCTTTACGTAACTATATCGGAAAATAGTTTGTCCCAGCAGCCATTGGAAATTGTCTGAAGTGTGGGCATGAGACTTTTGCATAAAGCTGTGTACACACAACCCAGATGCCCCATCCTAGTCTCAGCCCTCCACCCCTTAGCCTAAGGAGTGCACGGACGACAATCAAGACTCAACTGCAGTGAAAACAATATATGGTGTTTACTCTTTATTATGCATTTTCCTGTACTCTCCAATGCAACTGCAGATTCTCCCGGAAAGACAGAGCCAAGGCCTGTAACCTAGAGGCAGTTTGTCCAGTCTCAGGGAGAAAGTGGACATTTGCTTCTTTTCTTCTCCTCCCATCCCTGTCTCAAAGGACTGGTCAATTCACTGCTAGTTAATGCCCTCCATTTAAGTGGAGACAAGGGAAAAGAAATAAAATTAAGCCAGAATCAGTCTCATTTTAGCTACTTGCTAACCACTCTGATAAAGGTTGCTAATAGATAATGCAGAATTATTGCCTAAATGAACGTGCTTACTGCTTCTGGACTTTGCTGCCATGCTAGCTCAGTATCTCTGAGTAAAACTGGATATCAAACTTCGCTTCTGCAAAATTTTCAGTAGGTGGATGGGAGCTTTGAGGATCACTTGTTGCTGATCGGGGAACAGACACCTAAGACTTTTATAGCCAATTCCTATAATACCATGCTACCTAACAGGGCTCAAAAACCCATTGCTGAGAGGTTCATTACAACTTTCTGAACAAGATTAAACAAACAGACCAAAAACATGTGTAAAAACTCTTCATTTATTTTCCATGTCCCAATACCTCCTCCAAAAGAAGCTATCATGGCTTAAAAAAAAAAAAAAAAGGATTTAAATAACCCTTTCCCTAGATGTAAAATGATGTCTCTTTTTTTGTTTTGTTTTGTTTTGTTTTTTCGTTTTCTGCTGTTAACTCCTTCAGATCATTTGTAAGTCTTGGAAAGAAATATCAGCATAATTTCTAAAACTGGTAAAAATATTGGTAGATTAGTGGCCATTGTGCCAACTCTTTTTTTTTTTAAGAGTTAAAGTGATTTTTAAGGCACACCATAGGAAAGGTGGCAGCGAGAAAATAAAATTGGTTAGGGATGTAGGAATACTTTTGTGAAGAAGATAAATCAGAAAACCTATCAATTTCTCGTGGGATTGTTTCCTTTTTTAAAATACTGTTACTGCTGGAGCTTACAATTTCATACTCTCTGCTTCCTTATGCTTTGCTTCCACCATCAAATCTAACAGGTAATAACATCTTTCTTACTAACGGGGGTGGGAGGGGAACAACATTTAAATTAGGAACCAGAGATATATCAACGCTGTTGACAGAAATTCTCCTACTAAATAATGATGCCAGTAACTACTCCTTGAATCTAAGCCTAGAAAACTTCTAGGAGTGAATTTTTTTCCATACTAATACTGCAGAGGATCTTGAAAGATATTTAATTCTTTGTGCTAAAACAACTCTTCATCCATGTCTCCGTAATACCAACACTGAAATTAAGTACAAGTTCTCGGTGTATTGCAACTGTCCCCATATGCACCTGCACAGGAGGACCCCTGGCCTTACTCCCACAGCTGAGAGATCCGACCCAGAAATCACATCTCCCCATTCTCCACCTGAACACAATTATCAGCCAACAGAGGCACAAACAAGAATCACACTCCCTGGGCAGGAGTGTCCTATTCATAGAGACTTGGGAATCAATTTCAGGTCCGCTGCTACCAGGACGATGGAATAAACAAACAAAACAAAACAATACAAAAAACAGAATATAAACAAATAGGTCCATATAGACTCAAATTCACATTCTCATCTATCTGCTTGTAGAAAAAAAGGAGACCTAGAGATGAAAAAGAAAGAACACTGAGTGGAGGCATGAGATTGTGAGGATTCCAGGGTCTGTGCTGGACAGAGGGAAGAGCACATGCAATGACCTAGGGGTAACGGAGACCTGGATGAGCTGGGGCAGGAAGCAAATCCTGGTTCGCTGAGGCTGGGAGGGAGAAGTGGGCAAGGCTAGGGGGGACCTGTGACAGGAACTGGTCAGGTCCTCTATGGTAAGAAGTAGGGTACCGTGACAGCAATGGGAAGTGATTAAGCAGGGAAGCGGCATGATTGGAAGCCTCTCGCTGCCCACAGAAGGAAGACGATATTGAGCAGAGGCGTATCAGCAGGTGAGCAGAACCATTAGCAGAACACCAAAGTCAACCTCCCTTCCTCGCCTTCTGATTCCTAGGGAGAAAGATTTGGATAGAATTCTAATCCATAAAAGTCGTGCCAAGAGAGACACTCCAGGCAGACTGAATGAATGAATAAAAATGTGTCTCGTTTACGCTCCAAAGTATCTGAAATACCTAAACATCTCAGTCTAAGGTGCAGTAAGGGTCTACAGCTCCTTAGGATGGAAATGAGAAGCATTATCAGAACTTCACAGGTTTAAGGCAGTTGAGGGGAGAGTGCAGGAAAAGAGCCAAAGGGATAGTTGGAAGAGGAAAGAAGAGAGTAGATCAAAAGTGGAAGAGCATTTCACATTTCTACTTGAAGCCATGTCTATGTGAACTGGAAGGTGACCGGGAAACAAATATGAAGAAATGTTGTGGCGCATCCCATGGACCCTTGTTTATTGCAGTCTGTCTAACATTAAACTTCCTTCCTAAAAATGCACTGGGGCACCGGGGTGGCTTAGTTGGTAAAGTGGCCAACTTTAGCTCAGATCATGATTTCCCAGTTCGTGGGTTCAAGCCCCACGTTAGGCTCTGTGCTGACAGCTCAGAGCCTGAAGCCTGCTTTGGATTCTGGGTCTCCCTCTCTCTCTGTCCCACTCACACTCTTGCCCCTCTCTCTCTCAAAAATAAACATTAAAAAAAAATTTTAAATGCACTGTAT